TCGTCATCGCCCACATAAGAGCGCTCCACTGATTTCGGTCTTGCTTGTCGACGTCTGCGCCAGCGTCGATGAGCGCTTGCACGACACCCTCGTGGCCCTGGATCCGAGTCAGCGATAGCACTCCCGCCGTGTGTCAAGCCTCGACTCACAAAACAGCTTGCGTATATCAGCGGCGGTGTTCCGTCTTCGTCCGGCGCATTGATATCGACATAAGCCTTTGCCTTGCCGCTCACGATGTTGCTGACCCTCTCGACGTCGCCATTGCTGGCAGCCATATTCAGAGCTCTCTGCAGCGAGTCCTTCTTTTCGTTCTCGGACAGCTTTTCGTTTGCAAGTATTGTTTCCTCGTCGTCGAAGCCGGGCCCAACCCGGTGGGCGGCTTGTGCGGCAATCATCTCCATAAGGCGCGCGTCGCTGTTCTTAGGGCCTGCTGTAATATCCTCGTCATATGTGCGATCGTCTAGGCTTAGGTCGCCAAAGTTGAGGGGCTTTGCAAGGACAGGCGTTGTCAGAAACTGTGATTGTCCTGTGTGATGTGTTGAGCGGCGTTAGTGTGCGATGCTCCTCCCTCCCCCTTCGTGCTTGCGGGTGGTGAGGGTGCGGATGGCGTGGGAACGTCAACTAACCTTGCCATCCATCATACATCTCCGTCTCTGGAACCAACTCGACGGGACGGCGACTGCGGTCGTTGAGAGACTTGGGCAGGTCGTCTGGCAGTGGGCGTGGCTTCTTGTCGCCGAAACCACCACTAGCGTCCTCGAAGTCCATGGTGGGAGGAGGGGCAACCAGGAGGCCCGGTAGGCATTAATGAGTCGGCCGAGGGTATTGTTTTATGCGGCGCGAGTTTCGAGGTAGAATGCGGGCCGGGTGTTTGTGGGAAACGGCGCACGGAAAGTTTCGTGGCTCCCAAAGATGTTATGTCGGGCGAGGTCTGTCTCTCGCACTGGATAGTAGAAGTAGAAGTAGGTAGTTGTAAAGGAACGAAATAGCGCTCGGCGCCGCTACTGTCGTGTGATGTCGAAGTGTTGTTCCGTGTCCAATCCACTCCAGTTGTGTGTGCTGTGTGCCCAGTCCCGGACCCAGTCCTGTCCCACAGGAAAGGACTCTCGGTACCCGAGTCCCGCAACGGTCCACGCCAACGGGGCTCAGTTCAGGCAGTCTGTAGATGAACCACGGGCGATCGGGCTGTTGATGTCACTAATTGATTACGGCGGGCATCCGTTTCTACCGTGCTACCTTACCTTTCACGCACCGCCTAAACAGCGACGCTGAAGGAAGCTCCCCCGCCTGGCTCCTAGAAGAGTGTACCTTACGTATGGACCGTGCATGCCCTGGCTTCCATTGCAGTGGCTTCCATCGCAGTGTTCCCATCAAGCTTCTCCTGACGGAACTTTGTCATGGAACTGAAGATCACTCTCTCCTGTCAAGTTGGCAACCCCTTTCTCCTTGACTGCAATATGTGTTTAATGTGCCCGCCATTGCTCTACCACACAACGTCCTCGTCTTCAAGCCTCAATGAGGTACCCCGTATAGATATGTGTCTGAGGATAGCAAGACTGCCTTCAGGTTGACACCTTCATCTCTCTTCTGGTCAATGCCCCTCATGATCAGCCAGTGCGGACAAACCACTCAAAGGCCAGCGCATGCACGCTCACACAGACACGAGGGGGGCAAGGTAGGTCCTGGCATGAAGCTCACCCCTTATTCTCTTATTCCAATTTTCTTTCTTCATTTTTTTTCAGATTTATTTTTCTATCCTCAGCTTGATTCTTTTTTCTGCTTTTACCTCCTTCGCAACCCATGTATAACCTGTTCATAGACAATCCAAACATAGAATACCTAGGTAGCTTTTTGTCCGCGCAACGTCTATGCTCTCTTGCCAAAGACGCGCAGTCTCTTCACCCCGCCGTCCGGAATAATGGTGATCTTGACGTGTGTGAAGGCCTTGTCCTTGACGGCGCTGGGGAAGTCATGCTCCGCATCCGGTCCGCACTTGCTAGGCGCTACAATCTCCGTCCAGCCGGCGGCGTCCGCGCCCGGCTCGCCGCTCTCGATCCACGAGATGGCGTCAATCTTTGACTTTTGCGGGAAGTTGCCGCGGAAGTGCGCCGTGTCGACGACGACGTTCTGCACGTAACCGGGAGCGCCGAGACGGACAATGGTCCAGTCGACGTGGCCCTTGCTGCGCGATCTGGCCGTCTCCCATCCATCTCCCATGTCCTTACCGCGGCCTGGCAGCAGGAGGTTGTCCTTGGTGCCAAAGTGCTGGTCGCTGCAGGAGATGGCGACGCCACCGTTCTGGGCGGCTGCCAGGTCGAAGATGGCCTCCTTGTCGTCGGGGAAGACGGGGACGGCGTGGCCAAAGAGGCGGAATCTGGCAATGCCTCCGTCCGGGTACATGTTGAGGCGGACATGAGTGTACTGCTTCTGCTTGGGCTCAGCCAGCTTCCATCCGAAGCGCTGCGACGGGCCGCATTCTTCATTGCCGAGAATCGTTTCCCACTGGCCCCTGCCGCCCTTCCATGAAACGACCTCGTCGTCGTTGAGGTTGAAGCAGCCCTCGACGGAGATTGAGGGGGCGTGGTTGCCAGAGAAGAAGGCAGTGTCGACCTCGACACCTTCGACGGTGCCGGAAGCAACACCAAGACGGACAATGACCCAGTCAAAGGGCTCCGTGTTGTGACGCCTGGTCTCCCAGCCGTCGTACCAGGCGCCGGTGTAGACCATCTTTCCCGGTTGCCTGATGGGTGCGGTTGGCGTCAACAAGTTGGTAGCCTCGGCGAACCATTCATCTGAGAAGGCGAGAATCTTTCCACCAAGAGCAGCAGAGATCAAGTCTGGAGGGGAACATTAGTATGTTTTCTTTGCCATGACATGTAGCGTGTACGATGTGGGGTTGACGATGAGGCGTCTCACTCATTACTTACCAATGCTGCTTGAGCGGAATGTTGTGTCAATGTCATCTGAGGCGACTCTGGAAGCCTTGACCTGCTCGAGGGTGTATTCTTGTTCACTGGCCATGATGAAGGTTGAAGAGCGTGTGATATGGAGAGAATTGAAGAGGGGCAAACCACGTTAGGCGCGGGGTCCGAGTTTCACCAAGATATGATTTCTGTGAAGATGTATAGATGGATGGTATCCCAACTTGGAGTTTGCAGAACTTGGGCTGAAAGAGTGGGTGTTGGCGGAAGATGAAGACGAATGTGAGTGTTAATGTTTGTCGGATGAGGAGAAGTAAAAGCCGCGCGCAAGAGTCATGGGCCTTGGCCGTTCGGCGCCTTGCCCGACCCCTTCTTCCATTGTTCTTCACGCACCCGACTAGACTGGAGTTTGCACCGAGCGGCCAGTTCCGAGGTCGGGCGGCCACAGCTGACGGCCGCATTGGATGGGTTTGGAGGGGTTTGGAGGGGTTGATGGCGGCCGGCGGCCAGCGGGCAGTCACGGCGCGCGGCGCGATAAGCAAAAAAGGCGTAATGATTCGATTGTATCAGGTAATTAAGGTAAAGTACCTAAGGTAACCCAAGGTAAGGTAAGCTAATAGCGAGACGGTGGACCAATCTGCGACTTCTCCCGTCCGCAGCAAATACAACTGTGCTGCTGTTTTCCCCGCAGTCCCATCGGCCCAGTGCCCAGTGCCCAGTGCCCGTGAGTGTGACGGTGTGAACCCCGCTATTCGGTCGGCGGAGCGGGACGGGAGGCTCCTGGGCAGAACTGGCGCCGAGAAATTGGGGACAATCGAAGCCCGATACGCAAGCCAAGGCCGGACTGGAGGCTCTGAGATGATGCCATCTGAAAGACTTTCCGATGTCTATGTCCGTATGTCACTGCTGACAGTTTGTGTGCTGTAGTGTGGGTGCGTAGGGCCATGTCTTTCCTCCTCGCTTTCTGTAAATCTGACCCTCTATCTGCTTCTCTCCCTAGGAAGGTACCTTGCCATGTGCTGGTGTGTACAGGTGCGGTGCGTTGCGTGTACATGTACCTACCTCAGTGGCAGTCTGCAACCTCAAAGTCTACAATCCTTCAAACATCGATCATCCTGTGACGTTGAGGATCTGATAAGGAATGGCATTGAACGCTCCGACACCCATCATCACCGTCGGCAGGATCATCCGTCACGGGAAGTTGCTGCTGCTTGCACGGTAAGATGTCGTATACCGCGGTTAGGAACAATCGAGAAAGAGAAGCGACGGGTGGAATACAAAGGACCCCTCGTTCCATCACGTGAGAAAGAAGCAGCCCCAGGCCAGTCAGTGAAGGCAACTGCTGGTCTGAATGTGTAAGGTAATTGACAAACGATGCCGCATGAGGTGGTCACCACCGACACCAACACTTCCTTCCACACCTTTCGTGGGATGGATGACACGCACACTATCTGCAGTTCCAGGTTGTGTACTGCAATGAAGCCAAGACAAGGCAGTGATTTTCGACGTGAGCTCTAGGTCCCGGGCACACCTCGCACATCATCCTCTGTTGACATTCGACATTGCCGTTGCTCGCTGTCAAATTGGTGTCTTTGCGATCCGTCCGGTCCCGGGGTCGGCCATCTCTCGAGCTCACTGACAGGGCGTTGCTGTCCTGGATTTGTCCACGCGGGCAACAGTCATCACCCAGACAGAAGCCGAACTGCCGCACATGCAGACGAATGCATAGACGACTAAATAGCAACAACAATGCGAGCCGGCCCATGCTGGGGGAAAGCTTGAGAGCAACCGTCCCTAGCGTCTAGCGTGTGCAGTGAGGTAGCCATCTGCGTGCGGGATGGTGGGTGAGATCGATGTTAGCGGTTGCCTGTTCCAGTGAGCAGCGTGCTTATACAGCCAAGGTACGTATCCTTTCCCCGAATTCTACAGCGGCGGACCGGTAGCGACAGGTTAACTACCTTACCCCACCTGCACCCTTTAGCGCACCGTTCCCTGCAATCACCCCCTGCAACGAGTGCTCAATCAGAAATATGCGGCCTCCGATAGGTCACAGCTCGAGACAACCTCGCCGTCATCGATGCCGCCATCGACGACCTCTCAGTACCTTCTCCGACCGCCAAAATGCCGTCCCTTCCCTCGTCTTCTTTTCCCTCCTTCCAAACCCGGTTCCCAATGCTCACGGCGTTTGGAACATACTTCAACGCCGCTCTGTGTGCCTGCTCCAACTTCATCTCCTCATTCTGACTTAACTCCAAGCGCTTACAACAGTCACAATTTCTATCGCAACAATCGAGAGTAGATCTGTCGTGACTTTGCGCCCTCGCTCCTAGAGATACATTGCATTCCCCGAGACCCATTTCCCGATCTTTGCAATTCCCACCGGCAACGACGACGACGACGACGCCTACGACAATGTCTTCCGCCACAGGACTTCCAGAGCCACCTCCGCGAGGCGATGGCGATAATGAGTTCGAGCCTCTTCTTGGTCGACCTGGCGACGCTCAGCAAGAACCGGGCGAATTCATTGCCCGGAACCTCATCATCGGTATGTTGCTCTCCGCCCAGCCACACCCCGTCTCCCTTTGCGGTTTCCCGAGCGGCTACTGATACGTCAACCTCCATAGGCACCGGCATCATCGCCCAATTCGGCGCCGTCATATTCGTTGCCATGATCTGGGCCGCCGTGCTGACCAAGGACGTAATCCTCTTTTCCGGCCACCCGCTTGCGCAGAGTCTCGCCATCTTCACCCTCACCCAGTCAATCCTCTCGCTGCAGCCGACACACACTCCCGAGCAGAAGCGCGTCGGCCAGCGCGTCCACGCCGGTCTCAACCTGCTCGCCTTCCTGTTCCTCGTCGCCGGCGTTGGCATCATCGAGTACAACAAGTTCCTACAAGGCCCCGACTCCCACTTCCACTCTGTTCACGGCTACCTCGGCGTGACGGTCTCCATCATCCTGTTGCTGCAGTACATTGTCGGCTTCACAATGTGGGCTACCCCGAAGTTATACGGAGGCGAGGACACCGCCAAGTCCATTTGGAAGTACCACCGTTGGAGCGGCTACGTCGTTCTTGTGCTTCTGCTCGTGACGGCAGCGACAGCCATTGACACTGGTTTCAACTATAACGTACTGAAGCTGAAGCTCTGGGCTGTCGTCGTTACGTCTCTCTTGATTCTCGTGGGTATCATCCCGCGCGTACAAAAGCAGAAGCTTGGTTTCTCGTCCTAGATCTGGCGGATAATGGCTTCATTGGTGACAGCTAGATATGGATGCTGGTCTTCGCACGTCTCGTTCCCGATGTAGACTTGTTGAAGAGGGAAGAAAAGGGGTGCTGGCAAGGACGAACAGGAGAGCAGGGGGTTGGAATTTGGCCAATTTCAAGATCACATAAGCGTTTGCTTCGTAGGTGCGGGTTTTTTGAGAATTCACATGATGGGATCACACACATGGGGCTGTCGCTGTCAGGCGTCGATACTACTAAGTATGATTTATGGTAACCATTGGATTTGTGTCTTAGCGTTTGCAAGTTGCGGAATGATTATCTGATTGTTCATTTACCCTGCCGTCGATCAATACTGCGCTTCCAGGTGCCAAAGAGAGAGCATCCCTACTTGTCGAGGTCGTGTTCGTTCGCTTGACCAGGAAGCTCAGGTTAGCCACCTACAAAGCTAGACGTCGTGATTCGGCCCGTTGAGGTGCAGGACGTGAAGTAGCGCATACTGCGTGATTGACTGACGCGATTGACTGTGTAAATATCACGAGGCTTTGAACGTTAACCATGGTTGTGACTAACTTTTAGGATTGCATGACATGCATGCGGCGCACCTAGCACTGATACAATATATACGGAATTTGCAGATAGGAACTTTCAAGTAAACCATTCATCTGTCAATTCCATCATTCGACCTTCATATACATTAGTCGCTCCGCTGGGGTATACTGTCCGCCACGTCGAAGATCAAAATCCACACGCTGTACAAACAAGACGAGACGTCTCGTGCGTCCATTCATCGTCTCATGCATCCGCGCTTTTCCAAACATAAAAGTACTCTTCCAAACGTCATAAACATGCCCTGAAGGCATCTCTTCCCCCCCCCCCCCCCCCCCCCCCCCCCCTTTTTCTGCTTCACACTGCCTACGCAGCGTTTCGTCTCATTAGCATTCCAAACCATTTAGTGTTTGGTGAGATTGAAATTATGAAATATTCAGCATGCGTGTCTTGTGGCATGCCCTCGGTACCCAAAAGTCGTGCACGTCGTGGCCATTTAAACCGGCCGGTGCTAAAGAGTGCAAAGAAAAATATCTAGAGCAAGCCGTGGGTGTCTCTGGCTTCGATTATGGGCGTGGCCATCTTGTGTTTTGTCCTGGGCTTCATGCCACTGGCTCAAGCTCTCAGATCGTCATCGGTTCGCAGCTGCATAGCCCGGTGATAGCGGCTGGCGAGCATGCGGATGATACAGCTCACAATGCCCCTCGGCATGGTGCGCCCTCGAAAATAAGCGGACCTGTCGTCACGGCATGGATGGCAACCCCAGCTATGCTGCTGATCGCTGCCTTGTAAGCAGCAACCACACTGTCGCGTGAACTTTGTTGTTCAAATGCTCGATAAGTTGATTGCGTACGGACTTGTCGTACCGTTGCCTCCTTTGGTAGAGCGGCCTCCTTTCTAGGGGAAAGTGTTTCCGACGGGCATGGGCCAGTCATCCTCGGTGATGCTAGACCAGAACACCCAAACTGCCACGACAGCAAGCAGGGTGAACAAGGTCTCAAAAAGTGCGCCGTCGATTGCGCCATTGGTGCCATTGCAGATGTGAGAGCTCACGACGTAGTTGAAGATCTGGCCAATGGCAAAGAGTAGCAAGGCTGCGGTCAGGTAGATCATAGGCCGCATCTCGCCGAGAACCCTGACGACTAGGATAGCTTCGAGAACGAAAAACGCGACGAGGAAAATTAGCGGCGCAAGCTGGTACAAGACGTAGAGAGCGATGTGGCGGTTTGGCTCTTCGTACGACGAGTTCCAGTAACCCGTCCACTTGAAGCCGGTATCGAGCGTGATGTACAGTGTACCGCCCAGGAGGATGGTGGCGGAGGCAACGATCAGTCCCATGGACATGGGCGTTCCATCGTCGACGATCTGATAACCAACGACCGCGTTAAGCATTAGGATCCAGGTCGATGCAATAATTATGCCAAGATGAATTCCGGTGAAAGCCTGTAAGTCAGTCAGGATAATTGCTCCCAAGAAGCTTGAGGCTTCAGCGGGGAAAACTAACAATTCGAACATTTTCCGCCAACGGAAAATCTCCAACTGTGAAGATTTCGCATATTTCCATGATGATAAAGCTGACGAGGAACAGTTGCATTTCCCTGTGCGTCAAGGTTAGCATGCCGGTCGAGCGCAATGCTTGAGCGAACGTCACGGGCTTACCTCCGACCTACTGCGGCCTTCTTGCGCTCAGACCGCAATAAGAGGAAAAGCGTCACGACGATAGCAAGGGCGGCAATGAGAATTGTGCCGAGATTTCCCAACTTGCGGCCTCCGCTGAGGGAAATGCCTTTTAACACGCATTGATCCCACGGCCCGGATTGACTATGGCTGTCGGATAGCACCTAAGGAAGAATGGGTTAGTTCAAACTTTTGCTGAAGCTCACGAAAAGCTCAAGTGCGCATTTCGCGAGACGTCGATAAGAATTCAACATACATTGCAGACAGGCAGTGTTGAGTCTCGGCAGAAATTCTGTGGACTTGGTTAGCATCGCGCGGTAAATGTGGATTGAACTGGTAAGCACAACATACAAAAAAGTTGCCAAACTGTGTTGAACCCATTGTGGCTGACGTTTGCGGCGAGACTAACGGCTACGTGCCAATGGATGTTTCCCTTTCTTTGAACGTCGGGTATTCTCAGATTCAAGTGCTTTTGCAGGCGGCAAGAACAAAGGCTTCGATGTCTCGAGGACGAGTGGATTCGAACGGCGTAGCTAGTATTAGAGTCGCGTTGTGGAGGTAGACATGGAACGGCGAGGCGGTAAAACGATAACGGTCGAGTGGTAGCTACAAGTCTGGTCCGCCCCTCTCGTTCCTAGAGTTGATTGAGGTTGATGATGGTTTGCAAATGTTGGCGAAGGTGAGGAATATGTTGTCGGGTGGCTGGTTGAGCAAGCGGGTCCTGTTTCGCAGCCTCGTATTTCGATCCTTCCCCCGTCGACGCGATGCGACTTTCTTCTCGGCTGATTTCGAGGCAGCTGTTGGTGGTCTTTCGACAGCTAGCCGTTTATCCCCCCTCGACTTCTTCTTTTTGCGGATTGTCGCTCCCTTAGTATTGCCTGTCGACAAGAATACGCAATAGTCGCGGGTGATTCGACTGGAACGTTGAATTGGTGTCAAAAAATTTGGGGGATGCGGTTACTTTGGGGGCAAGGTAGGACGGCAGCGACGAAGACGATGGGCAGCAGATGTAGGCAGGTTGCAGCTGGGGGTGCAGGTGGTTTCGCAGGCGCAAAGTGACGGGAAAGGCGTGAGGGATGTCGGAGGCGGCGCGCAGAGGGCGGTGGGACAATATAAGCCAAGTGAGTAAGGAGTGGAGGCGTTTAGTCCTAGAGAGGTTTCGTGCGGTGCCCTTCGAGTAATAGCGCCGAAGGGTGATTGACGAGGGGACTAGGGGAGAGGATTGACAACTGCCCGGGTACGTCTGGACGGGGCAGGATACTTCATAGTGAGGTGGTACCTTGGCAGGCTGGCAGGAAAGCAGGGAGGAGGGGTGCTAAGGCAGGAACAAGGTACAGGCAGGTACCCAGCGATTCATGCCTGAGGTGGGAAAAGATGGCCAGCCTTCCACCTCCTTCGCGAGGAACTGGGCTGAGGTAAGGTACCTCGGGTAAGTACTCCGTACCTTACAAGTCTTATGGGATTGCTTCCAAGTTCCTGGTGCCGCCGTCCTTTGCCTTGGACGCTTGGAGAGCAGCTAACAATATGTGTAGTTTGGGGGGGAGGGAGAGGCTCCCAAGCGCGTTGTCTACCTCTTCCCCTTTTCGCCCACTTTACTACCTTACCTACTTCGTATGTGAGGCAAGAAAGCGGTTGGAAATAAGGTACCTGCCATTGCTTCCATGTCACCTTTCATGACTGACGGGGACTCGATGAGATGTCTACACTCTACAGGTGGTAAGCAGGGTAGGTAGGTTTCCATATCTGTACGGAGTACTGAGCACCTGAACTTGAAGCGACAGGGCTGGGCGCATCAAAGAAAACTGAGCCACTGGCCCACCTGGACTGGAGAGGGATTGAGGCACACGGAACCTCGAGCGTCGAGAAGCGTCGACGTATTTCGTACGAAAATGCAGGTTTGATTGATTTCCAGGTTTGCTACGATGAATTATAGTGTACCTGCCCACCCCCCTGGCCGGTGACGCTAAGCCATCTGGCGCTTCCAAGGTGCAGCTGCACGCGCCATGATTGGACGATGCGGCCACTTGGGACGAAAGATTTCCAGGCAGCTCGCCAACAACTGGCGGGTCCTTGGAAGTGTAATTTGGCGACCCCCCAGTCCGGTGTGCTCCCTCCCTGCTTTGATTCTTTTTGATTGCACTTTCTCTCTCGGTATCACGGTCGCGCAGCCGATGCTCTTATTCACCGGCCACTTGCCGCATCTGTACACCTTTACTTAGGGTATCTAAGACAAGGAAGGGAATGAGGCAGCCCTGGGCAAATGGATTCGCGACAGGCATTCGTGAGCATATGTATCAAAGTCAGGCGCGAACAGGGCGGGTTTCCATTTGCAAAGTCATGGAGAGGATGCTACAGCTCGTCTGATGTCGCACATGAGATTTGGCAACCACCACGACCTCGCGAGCTCCCGGTCGGCCCTTAGGAGTATTAGCGTGGCATCCGTAGATTACACGCAAAGTTGTCATTCTTTTGCGCCTGGCCTGTTTCGGTTAGATGCCAGTGCTGATGCAAGCAGAACATCCATATTCACCAAGAAGCATGGCATCCAACGCTGTGGGAGAGGAAGAAGGGAGCCACGGCCTGAACAGGACCAGACAAAAGCAAGTGGAATCGTATGTTGCACCATCTTTGGGGCCGAATCGCCGAGTACCAACCTGTTCGAGTACGTACCGATTCGCAGCAGGGTAAGGAAGGTACCTACCTACTCCGTAGCCCAAACCAAATGGAAAGAGCTCGCGGGTCGCTGGGTCTTGGACTCTTGCGCCGCCTTGGTAATAAAGTCGGCAAATTGGCGGCTTTCATGCATGATGAGTTGGGAAGCCGCCCTCTGCAACCTCACACCTCCCTTTCAATTTTCGCAGCCACGTATCCTTCGCTTTCACCATCCACAGGATCATAGCTCACCTTTACTTGTACAGGTTCTCTACTCCGCACTCCGTCCTCCGTACCGATATTCAAGCAGTTTCTCCCTCAGCCACGGTCCATTCCCCTCGCCATACCTGTGCTCCACCGTCCATGGCCGTCGCGAACTCCGTGATCGTCACTCGCCTGGCCCTTCACCTTGAATCCCTACTCCCTACTCCCTGCGCTCCACTCAAGATCCAGCATCATTGAAGCGTTACGGCGTTGGTTCTGGTCCTCTCTACGGAGGTGCGTCTCAATAGTCCTTGCAGTCGCTGCCAAGCCCCAGACCCACAATTACTGCCCATCTGAACCAATAAGAGCCTAGGGATTGATCTTGACCCACTTTACTTACTTTCCCCCCAGCACTGCCCATAG